CTTACTTAGTGGACGTTAATAATAAAATAAATAAACAAACAAACAAACAATATTGAGACTGCCCTCATTTGCAAATAACACAGTAGAGCTGTTAAGTAATATACTACATAATAATAGAATTAAATAACCCCACCCTTAATATTCCGTAAGCAAATACCTTAACAGATTCACCAATTTACAAGACCTTCACCGTTTTCCAAGCGTTCTTAACCGCAGTCTGAGTATCCGTACTATTAATAGACTTGGCATGCTTGATTGTGAGGTTTGCGAATACCTTAAATGTACTCTGAGGATCAATATTCTTTAATGCAGGATCTGTTAATGCTGCGTACTAGATCCTACCAGCCGGCTCCCATAAATAATCACTAACACTAGTCGCAGCGAGATAAAAGGCTTGGTTGGGAATACCAGAATTAATATAGACTCCGCCCCAGTCACTATCTAGAGTATTAGGAAGGACTTTGTAGCCGTCTATGTCTTTTAGCTATAGATCGCTGCCGATATATTTGTTATTAGTATATGCCTCGCCAGGACGTGCTATATCGCGTAGAGCTTGAGCTCCTATAAGGTCCCGGAAGAGGCCTTTGCTAATAAGCTAATCTGCATTAGTTGCCTTTTCTTTAGGGTTTTTATTATACTATTTAATCATGGAGCCAAAGACGTTAGAAATAGATTTGTTAAGAGCCCCAGATTGGTATTAGTATGGAAGATTAGCTATGTATGCTGTTATTCTATAAGCTAACTCGTAACTAGTAATATCCAAACTCTTAGTAAAGGTATTAAAGATCTCTGGGTCTCTATTACTAAAGTATATTTATGTTTTATTTTAAAATATATTATCGTATCCTAGAGTTATAGTATTATCGTCATTATAATATATACTACTAATTAAATCTATGCCGTTATTATTAATACTATTACAATCTAAGATCTTACTAAAGAATTTAAAAAAGCTGCTAAAGTTATTGTAGACTTAAATAGCGTATAGATCTGTATTCTTTAGCAAATTATTTTCGGAAAAGAGGGGTTTTCCTAGCTGGCTGTTTGATTAATGTAAGTTATACAGGCGTCTAAATAGGCGCATAGCCCGCCCGCGAGCTGCAGTAGTGTCTAATAGCACTTTTCCAGCCTTAACGTCGCTTATACTACCTAAGTGCTTTTCTACCTGTTCCTTGGACTCTTTAGAAGCAGTGTTTAACTGAAGAATTTCCTGGAAGATATGGCTGGGAACTATTCCCTGTGGTTGTAGATGAGGCTGATTAGCGATAGTCCCGTCTTAAGTCTGTAGATGACTTTGGCGGACAGATGTAATGCGAGCGAGGGTTTTGTTTACTATGTTATGAGAATTGTTAGATGCTGTGTTTGAGGTAGTAATGGCTTATAGTATGTGAGGAGGGATAATGCTGCAGAAGTGCGAAACAGAGGCCCTTGCATTAGAATTTATAGTTATTATAATTATAGAAGGGTAAATGTTTTAAGGAATTGTTTTTATATATTATATATAAGAAGTATTATTAATTATAGTTAATAAAAATATTATAGAAGAATTCGGTTTATTATATAGGTGTAAAATAAAAGTATTATAATAGTATAATAAAATAGTGGTAAGAAGCTTTCTTTTAGCTCTTACCTAGCTTCTGTTTAGCTTTTATTTTACTTCTAGTCAGCCCTTTTTAATTTTTAGAAAGCAGCAACTGCTTTTAATCTTAGCTAGAATATATTTTCTATTGCTGTATTAGGGTAAGACTAAATTAGGGTTAAGAAAAAGAAGTCTAGACTTTTTTTACTTTATTAGTATATTGCGAATAGCTTACTTTCTCTACTGTAATACTCTTTTCTCTTTATCTTCTTAATTACTTTACTAAGCGTTATTGCTTCTACAGGTATAAAAGCTAGATCTATAATAATTACAAAGTATATCTAACCACATAGCTCTAACTATATAATTAGACTAAGGAGCTTTGCGACTGAATAGTTATAAGAACTATACTGTACCCTATATGCTTGCTAAGTATAATATTTAAAGACCTAGACTTTAACTTTATGGTCTGGAATGTAGAAAGCTATACTGCTAATGTAAGAAACTAGTGTAAATTTTAGCTAGGCAGACTTTGATTATAAGATTCTATATAATTAGCTCTAAATTAACTTTAACAACTAGCATATATATTTCTTCTTTAATATACTAGATAACTATAGTATTAGCGTATAAAGAATTTAGTAAAAAAATTTCACCTGTTTACTAACCTTACTATTAGTAAACTTCTAACGACTAGTCCTAAAATATACCTAACCCTACTTTAAACAGCCTTTATATATCCTTATTTAGTTAATTTAGCATCTGTAACGCCCTAGTTTATACTAAGGTATAGGGTAATTTCTAACTAATAGCTCTAAGTCGGGTTTATATTAGTAAAGATATATATTGGACCTCTTGAGCAGCTTTAGTTATAAAGTTAAGAGTTTAAACTAAAGTTTAAGCCTGTATATATAATACAATAGGTTTTAAGGCCATTAAGTATAGTCTAGTACTATTAGCTCCTGTAGCAGTAGATTAGGTTATTGCTAAAGCAAGAGTGCTTGATTAGTAAAGTATTACTGGTAGCTTTTATTGGCTTGGGCACTGGTAAATAACTCAGCGGTGGTGGACGGGATACTAGGCCCAACCCCCGCCTTATCCTAAGGAGCCTACATGGGGCTACGATAAATCACCTAAAAACTACTCCTATGAGTAACTACGAAGGTAGCCTGGGTCCTAGGCCACAAAGACGTACTAGGAAACGAAGAGGCCGACCGACTGGTAAAGGAGGGTTTAGAACTCCCTTGCTACTTAAGTAACTGCTTTACTATTACCTTTATTAAAAGGTAGGTAAAGAGGAAATAAAAAGAAATATAAGACGACAACTGGAACAACAACTACCTAGAGTCCTATAAGGCCGGCAAATAGGGCCTATATAAGGCCCCCTCTATACCCCCCGAGTTACACCTCCCACGCCTAATCCTACATAGGCTGCTGGCTAAAAGGACTAGACACGGGGACTTCGTAGAATACTATAAGAGATTCGGATACGACGCCAGGCCGATTTATAAGTGCGGTAAGCCAAGGATATAGGGATATTTTGCGAAATACCATATAGTAGCTCCTTTCCTCCCTGATGTACCGGAGAAGGAGGTGTAATTTAGAATAACTTATATCTAATACCTCCTCGGTAATAGGGGGTATAAGGACTTTTAGAAATTAGTAGAGGATATAAGCCCCTACGGCCCCCCCCTATAGATATAGATATATAAAATAGATTAACACTACCTTATTTCTTTTATTATACTAAAATGTAGCGAACGCTAGATCTAAATGCAGTAGCTCCTACCGTCCTAGTGCTTAGATATGGACTTATATAACTAGCTTACTTAGTGGATGTTAATAATAAAATAAATAAAATAAATAAACATTGGGCACTGGTAAGCTTATATTCGCTTGCAGTTGCGAAGCTTCCGCTGGGTGTTTTCTCTATACGTTGGAGCGAAGGGAAGAACCGGCTGGTTAACGAGGACTATAGACAAGCTACGCCGGAATTTCATTAATAGGGGCTTTAATAGATTAGATTAAAATAATAATATAAAGGTAATATATAGTGTAAAGGCCGTTAACGTAATCGAGGCTTATCTCCGTAAAACCCCCCCCCGCCCTTACTTAGTACTTACAGGGGGTTAAAGGAGGTTATTATATTTTTTTTTAAATATTAATCTACTATATAGTAAAGGTTTATAAAATAGTATATATTATATTATAGTTATAGTAGATGCTTAGGTTATAGTTTTTTTATACTGTTTTATAATAAGCTTTATCCTTAATGAATCTTTAGCTTAGAACTAGCTTCTATTTTATAAAACCTCCATAAGCTTATCGTAACCCTCCATTACCTTATTTAAGTCGGTTATCTTAAATAATGCCTTAATAATTAGCTTAAAGCTAGCGTTCGTTTTACTTTTTTAAATTAGCTATACTTTAATAAAAAGCTTTAACTAATTCCAAGTAGATTTAGACTGCTTTACAAATACTAGCCTATATATTACTAAGCCAGTAAGTTAATTAATACTTTAGTTATTAGCTAACTAATTTATAAATTCTTTAGGTACTTTATTAATAAGGAACTTACTTAAGTCTCCTGCAAGGGGAAGGTCTATTTCTATAAAACCTATGTCGGAAGCTTCCGTATTATAGCTAATAGAAAGCGTCTACTTCCAATAGCTAACTTTAACTTACGCTTTAAAGGTAGTTGTTAAATTAAAACCTTTTTACCTGGCTATCTTAAGCGCTGTATTAATATTACCTTTAGTAATCTAGAGTTAGCTGTTCCTAATGCTTAAACCGGCAGTACTGGTTTTGCGTTGGCGGATTGGTTAGGTTGGTATCGGGCAATCTTGTTACTAGTAGGGTAAGAGTGGTAGTAATATTTAATCTTGATTGCTATGAAGTGATAATAACTGGCTATCTAAGTATTCTAATGAATGTGGTGAAGTGAATTTATATACCTTAGTTGGTTCTGGGCTTGTATAATGAGTCGGGCGAGCTGGGACTTATTGGTTAACCGGGTTATAGTTAATCCGATTGCGCCTACCCTGGATCCAGCTGGCGGACTATTGTTACGATCCAGTTAATCGTAGCAGCTAGATCCTTATAAATAGCTGGTTCCGTTATAATAATTGCTATAATTGCGATTATTGGCCTAACCTTGTGCCCTGTTGGCGCTACGGTATAAGGGAACGTAACAGCTATTATATTGACCTGTTAATATACTAACACTATTTTGTTACATCTAGATTTTATTTATCTTCTACCCTTTAATAGATACAGTACCAGGCTACTTTATATCCTCGACCCTTTTTAAACGGTAATCAAGCTCTCTTATAATAGGATTATATGATTTCTGCTATTGCGGATATTTTTGTTTAAACTCTTCAATGAGCTCACGTACTTGAGTTTCTATTTTACGCACTGCCTATGCTTGTTTTTTATGTGTGATGGCTAGGCTTTCTTCATCTGACGTAGTCTCAGCTTTGTTACTTCCTATGATAGAGTCCGAATCGCTGTCAAGATACGCTGCGGTGCGATTTCGGCGTCGGTTACGTTGATTTGGCCGATGGCTTTGGAGATTTTCATATGTTTCCAGCCCTTTTCTTAAAAACCAGAGACACTCGTTGACCTCATCGCATTCCTTAAAGGTCTTGGCAACATGCATTTGCCTTACATTACTCCATTTGTAGGGGAAATACTCTCCCTGAGGAGAGTTATCTAACTCTAATGTGGGTAATGCGGAAAGAATTTGGGAAGGCCCAGTTGACATTTGCTCGCGAAAGCCAACTAATTTGGCATACAGCTTACTTTCAGGCATTCGAACCAAATTCTGCTCAGGCTGTATTACATAGGGCATGTACTTTTTCTAAAGCAGACTACTTGCTAGTTTCCAGCCGTCAATAGGGTGACGTTTAACATTTGTTGCTGGTAGTGGATTCGCAAGAGTTCCAATTCCACGAGACTTAGTATAGTGTCTCAGAAGTCCTTGATGCGCAATAGGCCACTATATGAACTGCTTGTCTTCTTTGTCTTTGCGTATGAATCCCCGGCTGTGTGGATAGGGGAGAATCCAATGGCTCCTAATGAATGATCTTTTTAGCTCTTGACGCTACTTGCGGGCGCCAGCCTTCCCCCGTGCGGTCTTGATAGTATGAAAACTCTGTTGGAAGAGTATACGATAAGGTTTCTTATTCCAGCCTTTGCGTTCAAAGTGGTCATCCTTGGATTTCCAGAGCCAAGTAAACAAGACATTAATATCCTTTATTACTAGCCTGTTTCCCTTAGTAAGTTGAAGCGGTTGATAATCTTTAAGCATAGAATTTATTATACTATTATAGCAGAGAGGAATCTCTCCTGATAATGCGGCCTCCCTGCATTCTGGCTTTAACACCGACTTAACATAGAAGAACACATCCTTCCGAAATGTACATAAGTAAAGCTCTCGAAGGTAGTCCTCTAAAATATCAAGGTATGCGGGGGTAGCACTAAATTCAAGCATCTATTAATAGGCCTTGTTTACTTGAATAAAGTCGATTCGTATATCTTGAACTTAGTGGTACTGGGCGTAATAGGCAGTCTGTATGGAAGGATTATTGAATATTATATAAGCTGTATATAGTTGGCGGAAAGTAAGCGTATTTTAGTTAATTTTATTAAGGAACCAAGCGTAGCTATATATCTCTATAGTCCGTTTGAATCCAAAACCTTTGTATCGATGCAGTCCGCTTGGTTAATGTGGATCAGGTTGTAGTCGTACGTCCTGCCAGCAACCACCGACTTTCTATATTAGTCTACCTGTATATAAGAATTGAAGGCAGTGAAGAAACATAAGCATAATTCTTATATGCTCCCAGGTCACAAAATGCAGGTCTTAGAAGCTATATACCAGCTTAAACCCTATACAGAATTTATTAATATTCCACCGTACCTATTAAAGCAGGGTCTTAGTAGTGAAACTATAATATAAAGAGTTATCCTCTGTAGGAGCGACTAATTGTTTATTGTAGGAGCCTTAGGAGTAAATATAACGACCAATTGCGTAGAAGAGATTCCTAGAAACGTAATACTCCTCTCTAATACCAAAAGATTTCTACATTAATCCTAGCGAAGCAAAGTAGCACCGAAGTTTCGTATACAGGTATACCTTAACTAATGCGACTAGTTAATAGCTAAGGCCACCTCCGACAAGTTCCCATGTTTTCCTTAATTTCTTATCTAAAGTAAGGGTTTTAATAGCTGTGTTTGCAAATGGATATATATTTCCTACTGCAAAGACTTCCTTAATACTAGGGTAGAACTGAGAGTAGAGAAGACCAGTAGAGCGGCATTTTAAGCGATTACCGATCTTAATCATTAAGCTCCTACTATCACCAAGCATAGTAAATAGATAAAACACCTGCTTCTGGGATCCTTCATCGGCGGATGAATTGCTAATTTGAGAAGAATATGACTCTAGGCAACATCGCTTATATAGTAGCGTTTCGGCTTGCATATCTTCTTTATTATTATTTCCTTCAGCTGCCATGGGATCCTGAGGTATGACTTTCGAAAGCTGCTGCGGGCAAGTCTCCTTTCCGATGTCGATATAGAAGTCGGTTGTAACATAGCTCTCGTCTACCGAACTGGTCCAGTACTCTTTAAACCTTAATACCATTCTCTCCCAGGTAATATCTTTGGTAACTGTTTTTAAATTCTTCGCTTATAAAAGGATAGTAATGTCTTAAAACTGATGAAAACCTGGCTCTTAAGTAGTGTTAAGAATATAAGCCTAAATATCCGCCAGTGGCTCCGGCGGTAAATAGTATACTAACTATTATTCCCGCGCAGCCGGATGCACATACTGTGTAAGTGTTTCTACGCCACGGGCGGTAGAGTTATACCGGTTGTAGTTATAGCTTAATAGATAATGCTGGACATATGCGCTGCTGTAACTTTGGTAAATCGCTGGGAGCAGAATACCGTCTATCCATAGTTGGAAATCTTTATCGCAGAGCTTACTGCTCTTCTGTTTAGCTTGGTATAATTTGGGAAAAAGGAAATATAAGGATATATTCTTAAAGCTGATAATTCGGCCGAACGTATAATAGGGAACTTGGTGTACAGGCCGGTGGACCTGATGTTAGACTCCGTCCCCGTTAAAATATGTTACTAGAATTAATCAAAGGTGTAAAGTAGATTAAAGATCTGAGATAGTCATTCTAGTAGGTGACCAACGAATGCCTCGTTTAGCAACAGCGAGGCTGCTTGGGAACGCCACGATATTATCCACATTAAAGGTAACGCCTGCACTAATCAAGACTCTCTCATCTTTATCTAAGGAAATATAAGGGACTTCGACTCTTAAATCAAGGCCACAGAAGACCTTCTTTCTAAATTCGGGGCTTATTAGCCCAGCCAGGTCATCTTTCTTGCTTACAATAGCCTTGTTACTGAGGACGTCAGCGCCTAATCCAACCGTAGATTCCAGATACTCGGCAAGGCTAATCTGTGCATTCAGACTTCCCATGCAGTTTTGTTTTGCTGCTTAATGGCAACTATTGCAACACCCTTGAAATTTAATGAGTTGTTCTGCCAGCTTCTGTGCAAGGTATCCAAATAGATCTAACTTATTGTTCCCTGGCTGGGGCGAGGATTCTAGAGGTGCATTAAAGCTAACGACCTCTTCCAGGTCGGGACTATTATAGTTTAGGACAGGATTAGATTCTGCAGCATCTACGGGAATTCCATTATTGAAGATAGCTTGCTCTGCCGTATCCCCTTCCAACTAAGGATCAACTTCGGCCAGGAATTGTAATATGTCTCTTTAGTCTGGTTGTGGCATATTAGTAGGGTTAGTTAGCGAAAGGAAGCCGCTAAATGTGTTTGCCAGTTGTAGAGATAGGACTAGGTTGTAGAAGTTAGTATACGTTAAGTCACGTTATACAGAGGAAGCATCCCGCCGCGCCGCCCGCTTCCGTTCTACATCCGCTGCAGCTTTAGCCTTAGCTGTTAAGTATTTTCGGGGCCTACCACGCTTGCGCTTTCCCAGGGTACTTCTGTAGCTCGTGTCATCCATAATGCTGTTACTGGTGAAATCGGGTTTTCAGATAGAAGTATATAGGTAGAATAAAGAGTTGATAGAAGCTGTAGAATAGGAAGAAGAGGAGGCGCAGAGAGTGTTAATCCAGAGATTAAAGAGGAAGAGGGGCCTTTTCAATGTATAGGTTAGAAAAGCAGATAATATGTTCATCTATAGGTGGGGAAGGCAGATGGTTCTTCTAGTCTGCAGGTTGAAAGGCAGGAAATATAGAAAATAAGGCTTTTTTGGTTTTTTACCTGAAGAATATATAAGAGAGCTTGTGATATGCTGTAAATAGGGGTGTATGTAAGACTGCTAAGACCTGGCCTCTAATTGGCTAGGTTATCTATTAGCGTATGAGGTGGGTGCTAGATTCCTAAATGGGGTTAGTTGACCGCGAAATTCAAAAGAGTTTAGCTTTGACTGCTAAAATCTGATTGGCTAGTATATTTATCATCGACGACGAGGTTAACGAATTAAAGTGCAAATTTCACAGCAATGAAGAATAGAAATACGTTAACTAGTATGTGAGATAATATGTAAGCCTTGAAATATCCTTAAATTTAATTCTTACTTATTTTATACTATTTTTAGCTTCTAGTTTGAGGTGTTAAATATATAGTAGTAGCTGAAGTTTGTAGTAGCCCTGCTATTGGCCTGATGGTCATAGGTAAAGTCGAAAGGGTTAATAAAACGCTTGTTATAGAGCAGTGCGTTGTCATCAACCACTACAGCACTTTCCACCTCCCAAACTTTCCCAATTAGGAAATAAAGCTTTTGGATAGCTCTATAGCAGATAGCCTTATTGCTGTCATCATATTTGAAGACATATCGGCTTTGGAGCGAGTTCCCAATAACATTTGTTATCCATAAGGCTTGAAGGAAGCGGTCTATCTGGGATAGTTGGCGGGGTCCAGCATAGATAGGGGTATCTTTATATGCGCTTTCTCCGAGATATAGCTCGCATTGGTGGAGGGGTTTAGTAAATCTCCGCTGTGAGGAAAACATGTAAGGCGCCCAGTATTGAAGGGAGAAGAGCGTTGGGTATGCTCTCATCCGATTGGACGTGTTTGCCTCTTTACTCTTATCACCGTTGAACATGACCATGATATACCGCCCAATTCGGAACTGAAAGCTATTGTCCCATCTCTCCTGCGCGCCTTCACTGGAGTAGCTAGCGAGAAATACCTGCCTGAGCTCTCTATAGAGGGCTAAGAACGGAGCATTATGCCATGTTGATTTAGACCCTGTAACGAAGAGCTTGGCGAAGACGAAGTCAGACCACTTCTGTGGGTTAACATCCTTAGTCCCAATCCAGCAAGGTATCGCTTCCGGTAGAGGTTGCAGGCTTGGAGAACTCTCTGCCAAGCTAGTCGTACTGGAGGCTGGGTAGTAATAGTTCCATGCCTCTTGGTAAACCTCGAGGAGAACCTCGGCCGTAAGTATCTTGCCCCTGGGCTGCATGACGTCCCTGCTAATCTTTTCTAGCCGGGGAAGCTTAAGAGGAAGATCTTCCACGGCTCGCCTAAGACGGGTCCAGAAGAACTGCAGTTTGGCAAGGAGGTGCTGGCTGTATGAACGGCCAACTTCCTCCGCTGTAAGAGTGATCGCACGCTCATACAGCCTAGTGACAAGAGATACGTCGCCAGCGAGACTGGCCTCTTTAGCCTCGTCCATCCAGAGCGTAATAAAGTAAGCGGGAGAGATTGATCTGGCTGAGCCAGCTTGGATGCTGGCCTGATGTGACCAGCGAGCCTGTAGTGGGCTTCGAGGGATGTAAAGTCGCATAAGCTCCGCTATAGCAATGTGGCCACCGGGCCAGTAGAAGTGCCGAGCCTCAAACCAGAGCGTCCCCATTCGCTCAATGGCTTGACTTAAGCCCAAGCCCTTCCGCGTATATACAACCCGCTGGCCGTTCTCAATCTTCTGTGTTTTCCAGCTGGATAGCCAAATCCACTTATCGTAACTCAAGCCCTCGTGGGCGCTGTCGTGGAGAGAGAGCGCAAGCAGCCTTAGCATGAGCTGTGCGGTGTAGAAACCTGCCATAACTTGAGCGTAGGTGGCTGCGCGTAAGGTGGAATCACCTGCCGCCTTACTTTGGTTGAGGAGGCGCGCCTGGTAGAAAAGCTGGTCGACGGGCAGGATAAAGCGGCATGCTTGCATGGTTATGAAGCTGATGAGATCAACCGTGGGGATAATCCAGAATGGGTAGTGCTATTCGTCCCGAGGCGATTGAGGACCCCTTACAGCGCTCTCCACGGCACCCATATACGGATAGGCCACAGGATCGAAGCTTCCCCGAGAGAACATTGTAAGAATAACATTAAATCGGAAAGTAATCTCCTTTCGCGCGGCGTAACTCGTGGGATGCTGGTGGCTAGCCACGGCAAGAAGATGCCTCTTGTTGGCGTCCCAGGCAGCTTCTAAGTTCTTGGAGGAGGGAGCAGAGTGGTTTGGGGCTCGAGATTTCTGCTGTGCATCCGCATACAGGGTGTTGGCCATGGTTTCGGTTAGGGCAAGGGAAGCAATGCTCGATGTACTGAACGTCCGGTAGCCGCTGTACATGGTTGAGAACAGCTCCTTGCTGCAGCTATATGATTTGCCGTGGACAATCCCAAGGGTGTGGGAACCAGGATGCCCCGGATACCGGGAAGAGGCCCGCTGGCCTTTCTGTGGCGGCTGGGCCTCAGCTGAGTAGCCTTCCGCATCACGGATGTGATGGAGCCGGTAATATATGGGCTTTAAAGAGATACTGGGAGAAACAGCCGTAATATGGGAGTGGTACTGCTTATTGTACTGCTGTTTCCAAAGGAGGGTAAGCGGGATCTCCGTCCTATCAGCGTTGCGGCCGGCTGGCATGTCTCGGAAGCCGATATCCAGCCAGCAAGAGCGAAGATCAAGAAACTCAGGGTTGACCAATGTAAAAATAGTTTCTATAAAGGATTGAATGGCGCCTTGGGCCATAGGGTGCGCAAACTGGTTTTTAAGGTCATGTGCCTGGAAGAGAAGCTGAGGGTTGCGAAAATAGGCGAATGTAGCGGGAGTACTATTGTTTCCGGCCTGGCCGTGGCGTGGTATACGGATCTCGTTGCAGCGGCTTGTAAACTCTCGCCAGAACGCCGCTAGACAGGAGCCGGGAAGCGTATATCGGAGGTGTAGTGCGCGAGACTCGTCTTCTCCCCTCCAGCGTTGTGATGCCGGTTTTTCTTGATATGATTTTGACTTGGCGTTGGCTATATCGAAGGACTGAGGGAGCTCCTGGCGCTAGATTGCAGGCACGGTCTTGCGAATAGCTGGGAGAATTGCCTGGTCTACCAAGTCTCGCTGTCGATCAAGCGACAGGGCGGTAATGGCCTTGCGCGTTTGGCCATGTTTAAACATGGGAGCGGATGGTGAGTTGGTTTCGGGGAAGAAGACAAAGACAGAGAGGCTGAAGTCTACGCCAGTGGCTGAACCGAGAAATATATTTCTTGTACTACCCAGATTGACTCCGTGCGGTTGGATGGCTTGATTCCCTGTTATAGATCGACTGAAAGGTGGTAAGAATGAGATTGTAAATTTGTAGGTTGGGCGAATGGCTTCGAGAGCTGTCGCGCCTAACCAAACGCTATCAACATCCCATAAGCGGCTGATCTTAACAGAATCGTGGGCGTGCTGTAAGATGGTTTGTTCGTCTTTGTATATTGAGAGTCGTTGCGGGCGCGACGGCGGTGTGAGGAGCTTCTTGCATCGGGAAAAGTAAGACTGCGGGTAAGTAGTGTTGGCGGTAGTGTTGTCAGTGTTACTGAAGACATGTGGTTGGAGTATAGTATACAGATCGGGAAGTTCAGTCTTAAATTGAGCAGCTAGCTCGCGGAGGGAGGCTGTAGAGTTTTCACCACTGCTATTGGCGCCATCACTATTGTCACTCTGATGGCTGGCTGTAGAGCTTGGCTGGCAGCTGCATTGGGTGTGAAAGCAATCCTTGAAGACTTGTTGGTAAACTCTGGCTTGTTGGTTGATAAAACTAGGGCCGGCGGGTGTCTTTTGTAATTGGAGGGCGTTACTAGTACGTTGGGCGGCTGTTTGTGGTATTGGCGGTTGTTGTATGGCTGAAGTTAGAGGCGTGAGGGAAGGCCGGGGCGAATGGCTGGCGAAAATGTTTTCGCTACCTCTGAGGCTTGCTGGTATGAAAGGTTCATCTAGAGCATCACTAATATTGCTAGAATCTAAGGGTGCTGTCGTCAGGATATCGTAGCTCGACTGCTCATCTGGCTGCAGCTCATCTGGTAACTGTTCATCTGGCTGCTGCTCTTCTGGCTGCTTCTGCCGCTGCTGCTGCCGAATCTGTCGCTGCCGTTCGTAGTATCGCCGAGACCGAGCAGCACCCAGTGCTCGTTCCCGATCAAGCTCATCATCTTCGTTGCCTTTATGGGATAGAGTTGGCAAAGACCTCGCTATAGCTGGGGCAATAGGGCGTACAGCTCTAGCTATTTACTTATGTAAGTAATGATTACTAACTACTTATTATCTATTATTAATAGTATAAAAGGGTAAATGGAGGAACCTTTCTCTCTTTGGTTGGGAACTAGCGGTGAAGGGGAATTAATGATAGCAGGATCATCAAGAGGCTGCGTTTGTGTTATTCGTTCTATGACTCGAACATAAGGCGTATGGGTAGCTTCTTCTATAGTAGCCACTCGTTGCTTTTGTAATAATGTTTTACGGCGCTTTTGAGAGCGTTGTCTCTCGAGCTTGCGGTGTTCTTCGGCAGAGAGCTGTTGGCTTGGCCGAGGCATTGTACCTGTAGATACAAATTCTTATATATAGAAAAGAAAAAACGAAAGGGATGAAAGAAAGAGGGAAGAAGAAAGAAAAGAAAAGAGATGAGAGGGAAAAGGGAAAGAATAATATGGGCTATGACATCCTGGTCTTAATCTCTTGGTATAGGGTAGGATTCCACCTGGTGTCGGCTTATGCTGCGGAGAGAGCGAGTAATCTTTAATCTGTGCGACTGTAAGTGCGTAAGGAAAATAATAAGTATGAGCTTTTATTCGATATTGCCACTCTGTTGACAACTAGCTATATGAGTCGTTTAGGTGAGTGTTGTGGAATAGATTTTTTATACAGTTCTAGGTTCTTGGATTGACGAAGAGTGGTAACTCTGCCGGAGCTAACCTAACTTGCTTTCGTGCAGTCAGACGGGCTAGGTATCCTTTATTACTTGTGAAATTCATCAGGCCAGTTCAAAGGTGTGTACAGTGCGTTCGATGCATTCCCTAGCTGTTAAAAAATGGAATCATTACTGCATCTCGCTTCCTCTGTCTTCCTCTCGCTTATGCTGTATTACGGCTATGATCTAACAGGCTGCTGCAGCACGAGCGATCTATCGCTAATTGACTTATTAACCCAAAGCCTTCCCGCGGTTCTTTCAGCGGGTATATACTATAAGAGGCCCTTTATCTATAAGTCAACCAGGCCATCATTAAAGGCGCTTTCAAAACTGAACTGCTTGCTGCTTGTACTAGCATATTGGTGAACTGGAGTTGCAGCTAAACCTATTTTTACTTAAAGAAGACTAGCACAGAAGTTCTGACAGGGGGTCCGACCGTTTTATCAGCCAATGAAATCGCTCTAAACAAGGATGTTCTCACGGTACGTACCTGTGATACGCTTTACTAAATTAAGTAGAAAGTGGGGATAACCTTGATTTCCACATATCTATCAATATTGATTAAGGATATATATAAATAAAAAATTTAATTAAATCCAGATAAATGTAAGGAATCGATTGATATATATATTGCTTATTTTTATGGTGTTGTGGTTTCTGAAATTCCCTTTTTGTGTTTTGAGATGAAGGAAAAATCGCCCAAGTTTTCTCGAGCACCCGACCTGGCCCTGACCCGACGTAGACCACCGATGACTCTAGTGGTTCGTTAACCATTCTTCCATGCCAACAATGTGCCCATAGTGTTTCAGTTGCTACCCCTTCTACCCCTTCTACCCCCAAAATGGTTTTTCCAGCATCGCCACTCTTCTCTTTTGATATACCTAGAGAAGATGTCATCTCTGCTTATAGTGTGTGGCAGCGAAGTCAATCAAGAAGCAGTGAACAGAAGGCTTATTACGATTTGGTTGAAGAGCTGACCATAGCCAAGGGCTATACACTTGACATGATTGCCTGTAACCAAGAAAGGATGTGCAAGTTCTACGAAAAGCATGACATCCCGCATTGCCTGGAACTATGTGTGCAATGTTCAATGGTTTGGGAAACATCATGGGAGGGCACAGAGCGTAGAGTCGGTTGTTTGCTGATGCAGGACATCGGTTCATATCCAGCTTTATAAAACCTATCTAAATATAAGCTCTTATGTCGTTCTTCATTGTAAATTCTAAGATAGTCAGTCGCATCTTCGTCCTCCAGAATCCCAGATTCAGATTTCTCTTAGCCATGTATATCACAGGGAAACTAAAGCATTGCCGATATTATTGTAGCATCATTGCTGTCTATTAAGAGTTGTTGAAAAGCTCGTGAATACGAAGAGGCTTATGGGAGGCACGTGTTTTGATTTCAAGGATCAATTCGGGCGGTACCACCAGGCCTTCTTTCCGGATGGTCAACTTAGATCCCGTAGGGGTGATATCAGCTAGGCCCTTAGACGGTGATAAGGATAATGATGCTAGTATGTTTGAGAGGTTGGTATCTCCCGGCTCTTGGCTATGGGGCATTGTATCAGCGACATATCCGTCCGTTTCATGGCGGACGATGAAGTTCAAATCGCCAAAGCGGTATGATATTACTCTATGATGTCCCGTGCTACCATCAATCTGGTTAGTTGTGTACGCTTTCTCAAACTCGTGACCAAAGCCTCTGAATTCATGCGGCCCGATATATTCTTGGGTGGTGGTCTCTTCACGGCAAAAGATTGCTGTATTTTTTGTGACTTCAATGTGGATGGTGAATGTTTGAAGTCCATCTTGTAGCGAGCCGGGGTTGATGAATGACAGGAGCTTGCGGACGTTGTTCCGGTCGGTTACCACATCAATTAAACGGATGTCAAACGTTGGATTTGTTATATATACGGCGCGAAACAAAGGTTCGAGTGGACTGTCCGGATGGCGAGCTGCATTTTGGGCGATGTAGACAAGACCAGAGTCCTTTCGCAGCCGTCTAGAACCTCTGAGAGGAGACCAAAGAGGCGGGCTACCTGGGACAGCAATGGTGGGTGTGGGAGCCTCAATCCAATTATAGGAGGATAGGGGCTTGACGTCAGTGATTGACGCCAAAGGAGCACGGAGATCTTTGAGATCCAGGCGGGTGACCTCGGCTATGATACTGGATGGCATAGTTTGAAGTTCTAACACAAGGTCATAGAGATGCCGGAGAGGAATTGTTGCGAGATTCCGGGTGATAAAAAAAGTCCAAGAGATTGAAGTGCGGCAAAAGTATTTATCTTTGCTTCTGCAGACGCAGACGACGGGCTTACTAGGTGTCCGCAGTAGGGAGGGGGTGGTTTGTAAATTGTCCAAACGGAGAATCTACTGGAAAGCAACTGTCAGCTTGCTTGCTCCTCCTTTATTCCTTTAGAATTCTTTAAGGGCAGTACGCGACCACTGCTCTAGATATGTGACGTTGGACTTTTTCCACCTAGAAGTCGAGAATGATTGGCAGATAAGCAGTGGACGAGTCGGAATTATGAATAGCGGGGTGAAAATCATTTGTAGACAGAGTAAATGCCATCCTATCTAAGTGTCCACATATCTGGGTTGTATCACATTCCTCCATACATTCCTAATTAAAATCTAAACCCTGGCTAGTTTTACATCCCGCGGCTTACCCTAAAGAATGCATGAGGGCCCAGCTACTGGTCCGGGGGCATTAGTGTCTCACCAGCATTATCACTTCAATTCCAATGGATACGCCGTTTCTAGTGACAGGAACCGGTACAAAGCTTGCCATCGACCTAGTAGCCTTGCTTTGGAGACTAGGGGCTATAACTCTAATTATTCATCCTTGCATCGATGTGGTTTAAAGTTGGTCGAGGGTGATCACAAGTATCCTTGATTAACTCTTGTCGATGCTCTTGTGCGTCTAACAGATGCTGACGAAAATAAGTGCGGTCTCCACGAAGAGCCCAAAGGTGATCTTCTGCTGCCTGAGTCTTCACGGCTCTCTTACACTGTCGTAGCTTGTGCTGAATGCCAGCACTCCGAAGGCCTCTCCTAGCACAAAAGCTGCATTTTCCAACCCACCACTTAATTAAGGCTTCCCAGTAACTTACTTCTTCAGCGTTATCCCACCGCAGCGTGCCCATGGAGTTACGCTCCGGCTCCATAGGGGCAAGCCCCGCTGGCTGACGAGGAAATCCGCAGAGTTCTGGCGCTTTGGCGTTTTCGATTTTGGCGGAAATAGAACGTAAGAACGAGAGTCTCAAATACGAGAAGGAGGTTAGGGAACTATAATTCTCCTAATAGTATCTGCTGCTTAAACCACGCATAAGCTTCCGTATTAGCGCTAAGATTAGCGCTACCTTAATTAGAAGCTATTTTTAGAATAAGCTTCGTAAGGAACTGGTTATTATAGCCCTCGTGACGCAGTGGCTAAGCGCCTGGCAGGCTCTATGCGCGTTCATCGCATAAGGCAGTCGGTTCGAATCCGGCCGAGGCACCCTTTTCCAGCTAATTTTTCCCAAGACACAACCAACCAATAAGCAAGCCCCCCGGCTTGTAAAGACACAACGCTGAAGACCCCTCTAGGTCCCGCAGCAGCTATAGGCTAGCTAGCCTACGACGACACACTAGGTTTTTCCCCTTGTAGAGAGGGGTTTTTTCCCTTATACTAGCTTGCTAGTATAAAAATTCTGTATCTTTCCTTTATCACACTGAAACGTAGCGAACAGGGGTCAACACCTCCGGCTATTAGTTGATAAGCTTGCTGTCTAGCTAGGCCGGTCTCGAAGGAACAAGACCACGTGGAGGTGATTAAGACGGAAACTGGCTCCTACCGACCTATTGCCCAGATGAGGATTTGTGTATCTAGTTAACTAGATACTTATGGTCGTTAATAATAAAACAAACAAACAAACAAACTGGTTATTATATATATAAAGGACCGCAATAACTTATCAGATTATAGGCTTATTTTTGCAGTAGCTATCTAGGCCCGCCTTTAAATTAAGATACTTTATCCAGTAATCCCTAGTACCTAAAAACCTTACTATCTCTGTATAATAATTAATAATAACTTCGCTATAAAAATAAAAGGGTGCGTATATATTATAACACCCTTAACTATAAAAAAACAACCTTAATATATCTAAGCTTTCTAGCTAACGGAGAATTAATTTCGCCCTTTTATAATTTACTTCTCTTATATATAAATTTATATTATAATCCAGCTCTAATTTTCTAATACTAGCAAAGTATAGCTAGCAGCCTATAGTCCTCTACTACTCAATCGTTTTAAGTATATTCATCAACCGGAAATCAATAGCTAACGTATACTACTTATCAGCTTTATACTTATTAAGCAACTTTATAATAGCGCATCGCTCCTTAACTACATCAATAGATAACAATTTGCTAAGACTACCGAATAGGGGCTTGGCAAGCTTACGGCTGGGTAAACAATTTCTCTGGCTATCTCGTAGAATAGACCCGGTATAAGGCGACGGGGATATAACCGGTGGTTGTGGTTCTGGTGACGGAGTCCTGTGAGTAATTCGCCTTCTCTTTTGGGGTGGTGGTGATGGCGTCCATGAAAGAACTAACACAAAGTAGGAAGCCAAAGCTGAGCTTACGATCCGTATCCAGGAACACCCTAATCGTTATCAACACACGCAAATTGTTTACTCGATGCACCCCAGCTGTGCAGTGAATTATCAACAGGATAACCCACATAGGCGCGACAACCTCTTTAAATTAATTTGCGAGGCCTGTGGTAGACTGAATAACGAGTGGGATGATGACGCACCTAAAGAGCGGTTTGTAGCCCACACACTTCGTACGACAGAATGTATGTCTGCTGAGAACACCGAGCGTCTTGGGGGCTTCTTGGACGTCCTACTAAGGTTATGCTTTCAACCACAGCATCAACTACCTTCTCTCAATATTCTGATGGGACAATCTCAGCGCTGTGAGTTGAAAGATTGGCACAAGTCGTGGTTCAAACATCTGGAGAAATATGAAGACTCGACAAACTGCCGCGAGCATTAGGCCCGAGCATACCTTATCCCAGTTTTCAAGCAGCTCAACATGCTATTTAGAAGAACCTCGTGGTTTCTACCCATTTATGAAGTTGTCGATTGGCGACATATCTGTCGTGTACTCGTCGACCGGCTCTCAGAGATTGAGGGTCGATGTTACCTCTTAGCTGGTGGTACAGAAGCTGATACAGGTGGTACAGCAAGAAATGATGGGCTACGGCGCAGCGATAGAGGGATTGACTTATGGCATGAATTGAACAGGACCACGGCACATTCCACAAGACTTTGGGAAGCCAGGCAACCACATCCAGTTCGAAATAGCCGATTTGTAGGTATCTTCGATCCTTCCGACTGATTTATATACGCAATTTTATAGGGATAAGTTAGAGATTTTAAATCCTCTTTGTGTAGGTATTTCGATGCAAAAGAAAAAGAAATTATTACAAAGATCTTATCTTGGAAGTATCGTGCTTGCTGGCCTGGTTTCCGATGCGACTGGGTTATATTGCACACGTAGAACTCCATAGATCGTAGACCAGCCCTATCTCTTGTCGTTAGAGTTGGTAAAAGTTCTACAGCTAAGTCCAGGTTCAGCGTCCACTTATTAAACATAAATTTTTTTAGATCAGCCACTTTTAGCTAAAATGACTAAATAGTCTTGTTGTTTTTCACACTGTGTCTTGCCTTAACAGACATATGACAAGTTTCGCCAGTGGCAACTGAGTATTAAAACTTGAGGCACCAGGTAATATAAATGTGATGTATGCCAATATCTATGAAACTGCAAGCCTCTCTCTCTTGCATTCATATTACACGTCGAAGCTTCAGATACTGGCTTGGAGTCGGTATATTGACTTTCATTTACAACTCTGCTTTAGACCGGTGAGTCACGTGATAGACCTGAAACACTGAAGGGGTAGTGGACGCGTGTCCTCTGGGCAAACCCTAGGGGCAGCAGCAGGACCTGAAGTTGCATTCTCAGCATTCTGGCTTATCTTTCCATATTCTTCATGCCAATCATCGACACTGAAATATCTACATCTGATACTATTTTTTCGGATGGCAACTTCGACCTTGATTATGGCACTCCACAATCTGCAACAGTTGACTGTCAGGGGTGGACCTTGGCTGACCCAATTCGCCAACCGAGGACAGAAGCAGCGCAGGATCCTGAATCAAGTGGTTTGGGGTCTTCCTACTTATCTTTTACTTATACGATTGTTTGGAAACTACAGTTACGCAAAGGGAGAATGATGACGCTCACAGTTGACACAGTAGAAGACGTAAATATTCCGTCCGGTACATTTTGGGACAAGACCTTGAAGCCTGAACTTCTCGACGTCGTGGAAGAGAAAGCACCCGATCCACAATTCAAACCCGACGACACAAGAATAATAGTATCAACTTCAAAACGGTCTCAACGTGACTTCCACAAACGCTTCAGCGCACTTCATATTGATTGGAATCTTGTGGAAAATAAACTGCAATCTTGGAGCCATCTGGGTAATAATCTCACCGTTGAAATCTGGTTTATTTACAAGGAAACTCAGCTCGACACCACCAATAAAAGTGGAATAACCGGCCGAGGAGCTACTAACAAACAGCTTGCCGCACGCGATAAGCTCATAGCTCAACAGGAAGCCTCTGGCGTGCGCCCTGTTTGGAAGGACGTCTACGAAATATTTGAGTGCTCTAGCGCCGTCTGCCCGAATCGAGGATTCTCTTGCTGGCGGAAGCCAGGCAATAAGAAGCACTATAAACTAGATTCTAATACCATGGAATAACTCGTTGATTGTGCGGAGGCAGGAAATAAGCTTGAGACGCATGACGACCTGAGCGAATTCGTGAATTGATATATAAGCATGACGAGGAAGAAAAAGCGCGTAAGCAGCTGAAGCGAAAAGCATCTGATCCATTGTCAACCACAATTCATATATGCCCCGGTCATCAGGACAGGGGATGCATGAGTGGAAACCCACAAAAAGCTGTTTGTCTGGCAGAACCGGCTAGGCTGAAGTTCCCCATGCCCCAAAATCGTACTGTGATTGGCTCTGCAGCTAAGTGCCCAATACTTCATGGCAAGCTTCCTACCGATTAGCAAGTCAGATTGCTTTGACAAAGGTTATCATCTTGGGCGATTGTATGAAGCGCAGGCTGTGGAAGCTAAGATGTTAGCTACCTGTGGGGTAATGCCAGGCATTGCTCTCCAATTTGTAGGTCGGATTAAAAAGTGGTTAGATGAACTTTCTCCAGAGTAAGGTAGAGATATATTCTTCCGTGCATATATACATACCTTCATCACATCTATACAGGTACTTTGTGTTAGAAATACTCAATAAGTACCAGCGTTTACTTCTATAAATGCTGAAAGCTGGAAAAGGGTTAAGAGCATACGCCCAGAGCAGGTTCTTTGTAGTAACTAGAAGGGATTATGGTGGTAGAGTAGGTAGGGTGCAACAGGCAATCTTACCACGTAGCTAGCAGGTTGAAGCAATGATCAATCCTATCGCTATGTTATGACTGGCTATCAAAGTTATCTAGGTGATTGTTTTAACTGAGTCTGATATATCCAGTCGGTTTTCTCAGGTCGACTCGTGTCGACTTACATCAAGGTCGCTTCTGGCCGACAGTCGATCTTTTCTGATCGGCTGATCAGTCTGCTCCTAATCCGGAGTACGTACCTCTCGTTGCGACCATAAGATGTTGTGTCGTACCATGTTGAGAGGAGCTCTAGCCCCAAATTTTTGTGTAAAAAGCGCCAGCTGGACCCCAACTTTCCTAAGTGTCGAGTCAAAGGCCCCAGCAACACAGCTTCGCAATACCAAAGTAAAAATACCTTGATCATAAGAGATAACGGTAATAAGATCCTTCTCTAATTATCCGACTCTGACCTCTGTAGTTAACCACGCATATCGTCATCGAATGTCAACTTTTTTGACCACTGACGGACGCAAAGCTGCACTACTGGAAGCATTGTGATCAAATCCTCCTCAGGCTCTTCTGTTACTAGCAAATAGTCTCGCAAGACTTTGATGTACTCATCCAAATTGTCCACGACGCTGCTTAACGACTTCTTCGATATCTTCGAGGAACTGTTCCTCCCAATGATAGATAAGAATTTAGCAGCTTCCATATTCTCATGATAAATGAGATCGAAGACGGACTGCCAAATTTTTGCAGCTGAATGGTCGCGTTGTAAAGGCCGACTTGAAATATAAAAGTTGTTAATGCACAAGAGTTTGTAAGTTTGTTTATTGCCCTGCCTTAGATTTTCGACGATTTTAGAAATTGTTAAGCGGGGGAACTTAGCCTCGATATCCGTGGTCGCCTGCACAATCGCTAAGGGTATATTACCAAGGGCATTGATAAGCTCCACCCTCCTGTCATTCTCACCATCGTAACGTGGACTGAGGCGTAGTTGAAGAAGCTCTATCGCCTCGCTTTGGGTCATCTCTGGTAGCAAATGGAAGTTTTCTCGACCAGCTAGTTTTTCTGCTATGTCCAAATTGCGTGTTGTAACAAGAACGGAGCCATGGTCACATCGTGGCAAGAACGGCTTCATACGATTTACATCGTTCCAGTTGTCTGCCCCATCGAGAATCATCACCCATGGCCCGTTCGCTGCATCTAATAACCAGTTGAAAACAAGGCGTACGACATGGCGATTTTGGTAACGTGGTATTTGCAGGGAACTGGCGATTGCTGAATATGATTCGACGAAGAGACTAACGTCTACCCAGAAGATATGAGTCTTTGAAGACGACCGACGAACTTCATTAGCATATTGAACTGCAATTTCGGTTTTGCTAGCTCAGTTAGCTCCAAATGAAACTAGAGATTGTTGATGACAACAGACCCAATGCCACCCAACCCAGCAAGCGCCAACCAACTACCGCCCGAGAGCCCATGACGCAGCCATTGCATTACATCCGGCCGATTAACAAATTCAGAATTCTCCACGGGAATATTAGCGGATATAAGTGTCGGAGGCGGGCCGTATGCTGCACGACTGTACAGCCGAGTGTGAACAACATCTCGAAGGAGGCGATTCGTATTCGCAAAGGAGTTTGTGTCCCTTTTAGTTTCAAGCCTCTCCACAATTCTATGGAGAATTCCGCTAGGGAGGTTAAGCAGAGGCATGGTGTGGATAGAGGCATACGAAGTAGTTACTGTTTGAGAATAGTTGCCGCGGGTTTCGAGACGTTAAATAAACAACGCGTGTGTGTCTTTAGCGGTAAAATAGATAGCCCGGCTCCGCTACTCTAGCGCCCACCCGCGTCTGCTGGTGAAGGAAGACTGTAAGGCCGGGTCGCCATGTTCCAAATGGTTAAATAAAATAGAGGCTGCACTATAACCTATGAAGTCTGTTCGGAAGGCCGTTCTATATAGAATCCCGCATTGCGAAAATGCCCCTCTGCAATATCACCTCTATTGCTAAGGGCTTTAATACACGCCTTAACATAGTCCTCAAAGCTCCTCCTCCTGAGATCTACGTACTCCCTAAGTTTGGATTTAGCAACTGTCTTAAGTACTCCAAAATGCTCCTCTATTAGATTTATTCGAGGGGTATATGGGGCCATCATAAATAGCCGTACGCCAGCTCTCTTGCACATATGTTCGATTTTATCTGAAAAGTGAAACGAAGCATTGTCCATAATAATCACAGACTCCGGCTCTGGCCATCTTCTACAGGGATGTAATAACTACTTAATGAAGTCTTTAAACAATTCCTTATCTGTTGTTCCAGTGAAAACGCGCGATAATTTAATGCCTTTAAGTGTATATGCTAAAAGGATTTGGACTCTTATCTCTTTTTAGAACTTAGCTCTTAGGATGGGTGTAATTCCTACCTTAGCCTATCCTTTCGTTCGCAGCGCATCAAATAGATTAATACCGAATTCGTCAACAAACACACAATAAGTTGCTTTTACTCCAGCTATTTTGAGCAGATACTGATAAAAGTGACGAAGTTGCGGTAACTGTTGAAGAGCTACGTGTCGCATCGTTTTCCACGTTATTTGACAGGCCTGTAGCGCCCGGGTAATACAAGTCACAGATACCTCCGTGTTGTATTTTTTATAGAGAAACGTCGACATTTCCTGCCGAGTCATATACTGTTCTTTCGCAATCTGCATATACAGTGCATCTAGCATCAACGGAGTTATCTTGGGATCCGGACCAGTACGCTTCGCTGGAGTGGTCGCTGTCCTATATCGAGTGTACGTCGATCGGATTCTACGGATGGCACGGGGAGTGACGATGCGGTCTGGACTGGATATGTCTTCGGCTATTTTTCGTTCGAATCTCCTCCGCGGATTTTAGCTAGAATCAGCTTATGCATATGCTTATCAAGACGAGGAGCCATGGCTTCAGAAGTTGGGCTGTGGTGAGAAACAAAGGAGATGAAACGTGAGCCACTTGTGGACAGTGGACTATGGGTGCATTGCGTTGCCTTAGGCAGAAGTTTAGGTCAGCCGATTGTGGCTGTTGTTAGGGGATATATTTACATAACGATACTGTGCGACAGCCCCACATGCCTAATCTGGAAATCTGCTATTAGCAACAATGCGGACGCTGAACCTGAACTTGGCTGTACAGTAGAGCAAGGTGGCTAGTAACAATTGTTCGAGAAACCAAGACCCACTCAGTAACCATAACCAATACCATTGCATCGGCTTTGAACGGCTACATATGGCTCAACAGACTAAGTAACGGAATCAGTTAATCCGATTCCGTCAACCCAAACAAACACGACGACTCCACCGATGTAAACAAAGCGTCCATCGTAATATCTTATCATCATCGCAATATGGCGGATACCTACGACACAATTGACGAGTCACGTCTTCTTCCTAACGTTCAAGACTCATTTGGTCGTCAAGTAAGAATAATCCACCCTGGATACTACTCTTCAGGCGGCGATCCGGATTTTGATGTCCTCATTTCCTTTGAAGCTTTTGATGACGGCGGGTCTGGGGTTGACTACGACACAGCCCATATAGCTTGCGCTATAATCGCTGGTAATACCTGGGACGGGTATTTCTCCGAAGATCCCCACGGAAAAAAAAAGATTCATCCGCCAAATAGAGTCCTTAGTTATGGGCGCTACTATTTCTGTCTTCCCTCGTCTAATGATCCGTCGACCGATCAGTACCCTATAATTCCTCGCTTCAAAGACTGGCGCTTTCCACACGATAATCTTCCACCCATTTGGAAAAGGCTTTATTCCCAGTACCGCGCCAACGGAAGCCCTCGCTGCGTGATGAGTAACTGCGGCGATGTCGTGGAACAAGCGCATCTTGTACTGTTGCAGCAATCTTTATGGTGGACGCAGAACTTGATGAAAAAGTAAGAGAAGATAGCGTAAACGACATGTGTGTTAGAGTATGACTATGTTTATGCATATGTGTGCTGATGCGATGATAGATATTCTAGGACAAGTCTTTTTTCAACGGATCAAATTGATGCACTGGCGAATTTATTACCGCTGCGCTGTGATATCCATAAGATTTTTGATGAGAGACATTTTGCTTTTGTGCCTAAGAAGGTGATTTCTCGAGAAGCGAAAGAGAAGCATGTGGGAGAGGCCCGAGAGACCAATGCGGAACAGCTTCAGGACGATGCTGAGAGAAGCGCCTCATCACCCGACTCACAACTTCCAGTACGAAGTTTAGAATCCTCATACAACTCTCCTCAGACCAACTCTCCTATTCACATAGTCGGCCACGTCTTCAACTCGACTCCAAGTGGTGATCTCCCACGACGCTTCCACAACAGAGCCATCCACGCCCTGCCGTCAACACTATCCATCGATCTTCTTTTCGCCCGCTTCGCCTATACCATCTTCTCACCCTCAATATTTAAAGATTTTCTCGACTCGGATAAAGGGCGGTATATTATGACCTGGGATCATGAAAAGAAACGACACGATGTTGGGTTTGCGAGTGCGGAGAAATGTCATGCGATTTGGAATGCAAGCAGGTCGAGGAGTGAGAGTCCGAGGAAGAGATCCAAGGCTGCGGGCGATGGGCCGGAGGATGGTTATGCTGTGGGATTGGGATCAGATGTGGATAGTGGCTATGGTGATAATTCCCAGACGAGTCTTGCTGAAGATGAACCGAGACGGGGGAGGACGAGGAAGAGAGACTGGGAGGAAGATATTTTGGATGTATTTGAGGCGAAGCGAACGAAGCTTGAAGGGAGAAGTGAGCCAAAAGGGATAAAACCATGACATACATCGAAAAGAACAAACCATCAATTTCAGAGATTCAGGTTTCGTGATTACCTACTGCCCCATCCAAATCGGTCAAAAGTTAGTGATTCCTAGGGCCCCACCCACTTACAGTGCACTTGTCTCTTTGTAGCATATTTATGGCACACACAGCATCATACACTTTTTGTCCGTGCACGCGTCTCGTGTCTCCTGCGAAGAAAAGGGGCTCCACCTATAGTAGTAGCAGTAGATGTAGTCCATGTTCTGGCTGCCGTGAGCGTCGATCGCTAGGTAGCTGTCCACTTAATGATATGAACTGCCATGAACTTTTTTGAATACCTCAAACTTTTGGACCTGTTCGCGGACCTTTCTAATCATGCCTTAATCTGCTGTCGTCAGAGATGCAAGCGCACTATTTTTGTCGTGAGAGAGCGGCTGACCAACCTGGCATACCACGGCTTTCCATTATCTGAAAGAGCAGAGCTCACCAAATTACTCGACACTATTGACCTCGAAAACTCAGACAAATTGGGCCTCCGTGCCCCGAATATTGATTGCAAAGCTGTTCTCAATGTCGACAGCCTGCGAGTTATTTTGACTTTCAATATTGCTGACGACGCTGGAACGTTTGACCTCGAGCAATATCGCATTCACCTGGCTGGTTGCTACCAGATTCTGTGCTCTACCAGGGCCCGACCCGCCGAACTAGTAGACGGTGAAAGAAAGAAGCCAAAAGATGGCTCCTTCAAAAAGTTATTCTTGCAAAAAGTCGTCGACTCAGCCGACGATAACTCGGACGACGTAACGGATACCCTGGACGAGGAGTCGTGGAAGATAAAGGAGCTACTCTCCATGGAGACAACAAAGCACGGTTAGCCCAAGGCTCTTTGTTATGAAGATATTCTGATGATGCTTGTACACCATCCTGTCACAGGACTGCCCGTCTTGACCATGGCAATTAAGTTCATTCACCACAAGGGAGCTGACGACAAATCCAAGCCGCACGGTTCCAATCTCTTCCCAATGTGAATAGTACAAGCTAACTGATGCATCGCAGAACAATATTTTTCTTCACTCAGAGAAAAGTTAATATTTTGTCCCATTACAGTCATGCTCGCCCTTGCATTGCATGATCACGCCTTCGACGAGCGCCGAGCCTGATTAGCGCATCCTGGTCTTTGGATCACAAGTCTGGGGCCCGACAGACTGCACACCGCTGCGATGGAAAGAAGAGATGCTCAAGGTGCCAATGTTTTGCCGCATTCGAAGCGGTGATCTCCACACCAACGAGGCGATGGCATATTCCAAGCTCAATTACGACAAGGGCCGGCAGAGTCTCGACTCCGGGCATGAGAAGGCGTGGACTCCAAGATTTGCTCGCAGAGGTGCTGCTAACGCTGCCAATGGTGGGGCATTCCTGTCTTTCCTCATTCCTCCTTTCATGTCCCTCATCTTCTTCAGTTGGCTTGTGCTGATTAGATTCTGCGGTCAGATGACGCGCCGGATTCAGTTCGTGATTAAATGATGCCGCATGATTCTAAGTTTTCTACCTTTTTTTAGCCCATATTTGAATGAGATTGCAAAGTTTGACCTCCAGAATGCGTTTCTAGAGGAGGAGAAGCAGGATTGGTTATTCCGGATGTTTGCACACGTCAGCTCCATGAGAGACCTCGGGCCACACGGGATATAGTACCAGAGGAAGTATGGGCGCAGGTACCACCCGATCCAAAGATCACAGAGTTAGAAGGCGAGCGTGCGCTTCTAAAGCGGGGGCAGTGTCGAATTGCCGGCTGCGAGAAGGAGGAAAAGATACGCAAGCTCGCAGAAAAGATTAGGACCAAAAGGGCAGAGCGTGAGAAGAGATTCGTTCAAGGACTACCGCGAGTACTACTTCTACAACCGCCCAACTTGGGAGATTGAGGCTCAAGCTCGCGGGGAGTTGAAAGAGCGGTATGAAGATCCCGTTATTGACCTGACCATCTATGATCGTGCTAAACTTGCCGAATTTCTCTGCTACCAGCCCAAGGACTTGACGGAAGAACAGATATTACGCAATAGAATAGAGGTAGTAGACCTTATGGTTGCACTTTGCAATAATAGGGACACCGGCAAAGTCAGCCAAACTCGGTCACGGCCTCCAGTCCACCCCCCACCGAGCAATTTATCAAGGAGGAGTCTCTTGGCTTCGAAACCCGGTACAAGCCCGATTCCTTTCCTCTTCTTATGGATGCAAGTCATTGTCCGGATTGCATCGGTGACGAGCGGTTAACAGCCGCAGAGCGAACGTTTCAATGGTGTCGCCCGACCATACGGAATGATCACTTCGACGACAAGCACCCGACAGACCAGGAAGCTTCCGCACAGCGCGGGGAAGCGCTTTTTTATAAACATCCAAAATGTAGGAATGAAACATCTAAGCATTTAGATCATTTCAGAAACCATGTTTGGTCTGTCCACAAAGTCCTCTTGAGAACGTCAGAGCAGGTAAATCGTAGACGGGTGAGGAAGGAACAGCGTCGCCAGATGGCTCGGGGAACAAAATTACAGGGCTAGCAAAGGCTTCGCATCGCGAAAGGCCTAGGTGAAGCCTCACTAACAGTCCTTGCTACTACCGCTATCCCGAGCGGGCACTAGACGAATAGTGTAACATGCCGACGAATAGCATCCGTATGATGTTTCTGATGTTTGCATAGTATCCAGGTTCTTAGTTAGATTGCGTAATTACATCTTCCTTTAGTATTAATATCCAGTCTTAGTCCTTTCTTTATCACAACGACGCTCTTCCTCTACGCAGAATCTCCCAGTCGTTAGCGCTGCTCCGAGTATCTGGGGGAGTAGTTGCCGCATTATGCTCCGGAGCCTATATAAGAGCATGACATGATATAAACTTAACCGAGAGGGAGCTTGAAAACAAACTAAGCGTATCGTAGGGCAATGCCCCATTTGGGACTACACCGCCGTGTGACCTTTTGATGAATTAGCCCGGAACGCAATAGGTACGGCGCTTATGTTCTGAACAGTTGGCTCGGGTACTTCATCTGTCCTACCCGACAATCGTTTATGGTGTCGGAGATCAATTCTTTCAGCACCTGAAAGTCAAATGGAGGAGCTTTGTGGGGGCGGAAAAGGAACGGCGCGATACATATTTCGAGTACCTGAAGGTGACATTATCACCCGAGAACCTATGAGGAAGAGGAAAAGAGGACAATCGGACGGCGTGAAGTCGAGACGAGTGGAGTACAATTGGCCGAATAAGGCACACGACAGCATACGGTACCCATGACGAAAGGCTACGGGGCTGCCATTTGGGACGTTGACTAATACAGGTTGGCTAGAATTTGGATTGCACCAGACACTTCATGGCTGAGAATTGGCAGTACTACAGTAGGACCGTCTGGTGGAAGGAGGGTTATGTGGCAAATGATAGGGTTGTCTGGACGGTTCGTCATGATGTTTTGGTGCTGTTTCTGCATGACGGCAATCGCAATCCACGGTCGGGATCATCACGGCTACTATAAAAGTTCTTCCCGCGCGAAATATTGCTTCTTATTATACTCCCGGTTTCAAACGAGTGCAAAAAAGCAAACATATCCCATGAGACCGAAAGAAATCTCGGCAGCGTTTGGATACCTCTCATTTCTGTTCCTCCCAACGAAATCCCCACCAAACTCAAATGCCGGCCGACCCATCCTCATCTCAACATCCATCAGTAGATAGCCTGTCTCCGCCCTTCAACAACTCCCTCATACTACCCAACAGACTGCCTAAACATACAGTCACTACACGCGATAAACGTCCTGCACCGCACAAAATGGTATGTAATGGCTGAACACGTATTGGTACTCGGAAATATCCCAGTTCTGACGCGGAATCGAAATGCCGAACTGTCTAGCAAGGCTACGCAAATGGCGGTGCTTAGCCTTGCTGTGAATTTTGTTGACGTCGATCACTGCGATTCTGGGCTGACGCTTTCCGCGAGTCGTTTTCTTTCGTCGCCTTGCTTCGGCTATTGCGATACTTTCCTTGCTGTATGCCGGAATAAGGTGAGGCACCTTGCCGGGATTAGGATCAATAAGCATATGGACACTCATCTTCAGCTTTTCTAAAGCCCTTCCGCGGCTAGCGTTGAGGTTAATATCTGGGCCTGGGGCCGAGATAAAAATCCCACTCCATCTGACTTTCCGAGAAAGGAATATCGGCGAGCCTTCCTCCAAGATGACGTAAAGCAAATTCTGTTTACCTTCTGCGTCCTCCCCGAGGCTGCTCCGCCTTGAGTTATCTCTGGACTTACCCATGATAGATCAGTTGTGATGCAACTCGGACTGACGAAAGACAAGTTGCTTACTGTCTGGTAATTGTGGACGGCAAGTTCACGGTGGAGGCTCTGCGTGCACCTCACCCGCGTGTTATCTTTGCGGGGCTATTTCAACGCGTCGAGGGTTCCGCGTGGAGTCAGTCACATGATCTGGCAAATCCACTTGTTCTACTCAGAGTGTACGTGGGTCCTTCTGGTTCAGGGACCATGCTACTGTAGGAAATAAGGAAGGCTTGCGATAGTTCAATTATATCAAAAATTGATAGCTGCAAGAATGCTCGTCTTTATTCTGCTCAAATTCGCGGATTCTTGATGTTCTACAGCGATATGCTGTTTTATGGCATTGAACGGAGTACTATCGTATATGAATGGCTTCATGCTATATGTTAACACTAGGAACGGTAACCTAACGCAACACTTAATTAAAAACCCTTTTACAGATGGCATACTCTAGTCCTTTAGTTGGGTTTAACTACAACTATACGGAGTAATACATCGCCTATTATTCTTCTTTTATATTTGCCGTTTATACTGTTGCTTACTTTTTAACCCCTGCTCTGGCTTTTACTATCTCTGGCTTTTACCCTCGCATTTGCTTTTATATACGGCTGGGTGGCCCCACTTGTAACTTAATAATAAAAAATCTCAAAATTCTACTAATAAATATTGTATCTTAATTTTTTTTTAAAATTCTATTACTTAAAAATTACACTTCATAATATTTTACTACTTATTTAACTTATATAACTACATACTATTTTACTATTCACTCTTCTTTTTCAACGAACTCTACCCCATGTCATGTTGTGGGGCTATATAAATTTTCAACAAACTCTCAGCGATCGAGCAGCCGGTCAACAGCGGCCACCATCAGCCTGAGCCTGTCCTCATCTGCGCTACAGCTAAGGAGCGCTCTCCCACTGTGCATCGCCAGCTGGAGGGGGCCAGGGTGGGAGCAGGGAAGGGCCGAGAGCGCAATCAGGTGATCGCAGCGCGCACCCTTAAAGAGATCGGCCCAACCTGTGCGCCGCAACCAGGTCGACATAAGGGCCGCCGATGCAGCTGATGCGTCGCTGGTCTGCTGGCCCGCGGTTGTATGTTTACTATCGCAAATAAGTGCTTCAGCTCTTGGGCATAGAGTTCCTTAACACGATACCGAACAAGGGCAGAGGCCACCCCAGCCGGGGCTATGCAGCCTGGTATAGTCAACTGCCCTGGCTGCGAGCTTGCCTTTACCAGACATGAGTGCAAGATATCACTGGCGAGCCAACTCTGGAGCTGGAGCTGCTCATGAATGTGATCCTGCAGCCAGCTGCCTTTAGATGAGCGCTGTTTAATCTTATCCCTATGCTCTAGCCTTGGAATAAAAGCTGTTCGTTGATGTGATCCCGTAGCCAGCGGCCTTTGCGGGCAGATTTGATCTGTTCCGGATGCTTCTTCTTTAGATGCCGTGAAAGAACCTCAAAGCTAGTAGAATGAAGACGGCAGTGCCTACAAGCAGCTTCCTGTTGTAGTGCTAAGTGAGGGTGTCTCTTAGGCCATTTAGCCTTGGTAGTGGCTTAGCAGGGTCTGGCAAGTTAAACGAGTGAATGAGCTGGCCGATTCCTCATCAAGCACACCAACAGCCTCCTCAGTAAAAAGTAATATGTGATGTTATCGCTCTGGTATAAGTCTGGTATGACTTTTGTTGCTCCAATATGTCACCGCAGGCCTAGCTTTGGAAGAAAATCCGCTCTTGAATGTGGTCGTGTAGCCAACGGCATTAGTGCGCCGATTTCAGGGCTGATGGCAGCCAAGACTGAGACACGCGAGGCGACCAAGGACTGCGCTACGCCACAACGACAATTTCCTAGAATGCGGTCTACAACGCTGAATATTCAAAAACAAAAGTTGGAAGCGGAACGATGTATACCGGAGAAAGTCGGTAAACACGCCAAGAGGATAGACGCGGCATTGCCTGGAAATCACACTCGGCTGCTTTACGACGAACTTCCATGGAAAGAACGCAGCGTTCTGGCCCAGCCAGATGCAGCAACCGAGTACAGAGAAGTAATGACCCGGTGTACGGATACACTACGAGGAAACCTCTCGTTCTACTTGGGAGGAAAATCGCCGTCAGACGGGCCCAAGTGGGAGCCAAATATGAGCGCTGTACGAGCAACAATACGGTTTGTAATGGCCACAGCCCGTCTTGATAACTAACTCCCATCACCTTCAACCGACACCTTTTATTTCACCTCATGCTGTTTCAAGCTGGCGTCGCTTCAGCTGCTGTAGATAGGACGTTGAACACTTGGAGAAATAACTCCAAGCTAGCCTGCGGATAATTAATACCTAATGAGTGAGAAACCGTGTAGAGATTGGACATCAACAAAGAAGAGCCGGAACTAGATTGTGCCAATATATCCGCTACTATGAGGAAAAGTCATAACTTGAGGGCCATTTATATAACACAGATTGATAGTTGCCCTATTGGAGGAGACTCCACCGGGCGTAATAAATTGTGTGTGTGTGTGTGGTTACACTTCTATTGTTTACGGCAGTTAGTAAACGGCAATTAATTTTCGAGGGCATGCAGGGCACTCGACAAGTTTTGCAGTGTGAATAAGGCTGTGATAGTGTAGAAAATCGTAAGGCTTATCCAGGATCCATGGTATGGGAAATAAGCATATACTAACTACCCTTGTATAATTGCCGGCTACCCATTGTCTTGCTAGCGCCTATAAATCTGCCATATAAAATTTTCCGCCGAATCTGCCATGGTGCTGCTGCACCTAGAGGTCGGACGTTGCACATCTTGGATGTGCTGCAAAAGCATCGATCATCTCGCATTAGTGTGTCGCCAAAGATAAAATTCTACAGTAGACAGTGGATATTTTTTTTTAATTTACATAACACTATTATACATACATTGCATTATCTCTATCACAAGTAACGTGTCGATTGAGTCGGTCCAATGATATGTCAAGGTCTTCCCAATAAATGTGCTGCATCCAGCCCATTCTCTGCTCTTCTATAACTCTAGCCATGGTCCGTAGACATTCTTCATTGGTCTCAGACAAGGCCGCCACTGCCAGAGACACCCGCTTCTCAGGGTTGCGCCCGCCATTCGCAATGTAGATCTCATGATACAAGGGATTGTTGAGTCTCTTTAGCTCGTTTTCAAACCAACTCTACCCCAGTCTTCCAAATCAACTCTACCCCTAGCCTAGTGGGTCATACAAGGGTTATTTAAATCAACTCTACTAGAGTTAATCAGAGCCTTACCATCGTAGGGACTAAACCTTTAGGAGGGGAATATAGTTTACCTACTTTAATATATATAAAGCTATAAAATACTAAATATTAAAATAAACTAACTAAATAATAAGCTTAATTTTAAGAAAATCAGCCTATTTAAAATTTTAAAGAAAATCAGTAATATTAATTATAAATTAAAAATACTAAAAGGTATATAGCTAAAATACTTTATATTTTATATATTACTTTTAGAAAAAGTATAAATTAATAAAGTAATAGGAAGACTAATTTTAAATAAAATTATTATTATTAAAGATAAAGAAAAATAGAAAGTTAAAAAAATCTTAGTAGTATAAAAAAATCTAAAAGAAAATAATAGAATTAAATACTAAGTTAAATAAAAAAGATATAACCTAATTTATAATACCTAGGAACTTATTAAAAGCTTTAATATAATAAAACTAATTTAAAACCTTTAAAAAAACTTAGGATTATATTTAAAACTCTTAATGCCAGCTACTTAATAAATAAAACTACCTAAGAAAAAGAAAAAGGTATATAAGTTTCTTTTACTAATATAAAAAAACTTAAATTTATAAACTTTAAACTAACGCCTAAGGAAGACTAATTAATATTATTAAAAACCCTTAACTATTATAGATCTTATACTACTGCCTACTCTACAGCTACCTTAGTATCCTTTTCCTTTATACCTTAATAAAATAACTTTTTACCCTACTCCTTAGCTTTTTTATATATTTTTTAAATATATAATAAATAACTTAAAGCCTTAGCTAGCTAAGTCTAAAGCTTAAGTATTTAAGTATTAAAAGACTTAACCTACTTGCTAATCTTTTCTTTCTAACGCTTTAATACTTAATATTAAGCTAATACTTTTTTTACTAAAAACTATTAAAATATACTTATTAATAAAACTATAAATACCTACGAGAACTTATTACTAAAATACTATTATATAATTTCTATGTTTTTATATAGTTACTACAGTAAGAAAACGCTTCTAATATAATATATAGTAATTTAGTATAATAATATTAAGTATAAGGTATATTAGTAAATAAACCTAAAGTAAGTACCTGTTTAGTAAAAGAAATAGTTTTACGTTTTTTATAAATAGGTATAAGATTAAATATAGTGCTATAATTATAAAGGAGGGAAACTCTTTACCTACGTTATATACTACTACCTAGATTAAGTAGCTAAGCCCTATTTTAGATCTTAAAGGCAAGACTAATAAGAGGGGGCATTATATTACAACCTAACCTTTTATAATATTATAAAACAGGTATTCCGGAATATCTATTAGACCATTCTAGCTAATTAGAAGGAAAGAACAACTACATAGTATTATTCCTTCTAGAAAGGAATAACTAAGCTATATTATTCTAATATAAGAATAATAGACTACTAATGTTGTAAGTATATATAGAAATAATATACTATATTATTCCCTAAGAAACGATTAGATATATAAGATTTAATTCTCTATGCTTTTTAAATAAACAGTTGTTAATAAAGTATTAAGATTAAATATAGACTGAATCTTTATTATATTTTACTTACTTTGTAATTACTTAAAGCTACTTTCTATCCTTTTTGCTAATATAAACTAATTAACCTTAGTTTATTACCTTAGGAACTTACCCTATACTATTTAAGTATTAGGTCAGGATATTATAAAAAGGAATATAAATATAATAATAATAAAAAAAGGAAATATCTTAAGAAGAAAATTACTTTTATAATAATATAGAATAAGGAACTGCTAAAAGTTATAGTAGACTTTAAAGTAAATAGGAAGTATATATTAGCTGTAACTATAATATACCTGCAGGTACTATAAAAATAAAAGAAAAAACTATATTAACTTTTTTATAAAAAAGGAAAATAGTTTAAATATAATAATAAATAAATTAAGAGATAAATTAATTACCTATACTTTAAAGTCTTTAGTTAAATTACTTTAGTAGTATATAATATTATTAATATTTTAAAATAAGATATTATCTTAGGTATATTATAATTATACTAATATAAACCTTTAATAATATAAAGTAAAGGCCTAATTTATTAATAAATTAATAAAAAAACTTTAAATTAGAAGAAGGATAAAGGAAGTTAAAAACCTTAACTTCTTAAGCTTAAAAGGATTCTTATATAATAATAATAAAAATAATTTAAGGCTACAGAAGCTTAATTTTTAAAAAGGTTTACTAAAGGGAAATAAAATTTATATAAACTTAATAAATTTTTAGAATTTATAAAAGAACCTTAAGAAGAAAATTATATTCTATAATAACTAAGAGAAACTCTAGTAATAAAATAAAATATAAAAAAAACTATAAACTTAATAACTAATATTCTAAAATAATACTAAAAGTTTAAGGCTTTATTTTAAAAAACCTTAACTTACTTAAATAAAAGTATATAAATACTACTATATACTAAATAAAATTATATAATAAAATTAAAAAAAGGGAAATAACTAAAATATTTTCTATTATATAATTTTAATTAGTTAAAATTTAATACTTTTAATAAATAAATATAAAAATAAAAAATAAAAAGATATATTAAAATTTCTAACTCCCTAGTATAATATTTTATTATTTTTATTTTAAAGAAGAATAAAAAATTATAACTAGTTATTAACTATAAATAATTAAATAATATTATAATTAAAAATTAAACTTCTTTACTATTAATATCTAAAGTAAAAAATTAATTATAAAAAGTAGTAATATATTTTTAACTAAATTTTACTAATACTTACGGATTAACTTAAATAAAAGAAGGATATTAATAAATAACAGCCTTTAGCACTTTAAGAAAATCCTATAAATTTTTAGTAATACTTTAAAAATTAATAAATATATTTATATTCTTTTAGAAAAAAATTAACTATATCCTTTAGAAATATTAAAATAAATTTATTATTATTTACTTAAATAATATTTTAATATACTTTAAAACTAAAGAAGAATATAAAGAATATATATACTTAGTACTTTAAGTATTATAAAATAATTATTTCCTTATAAACCCTAAGAAATATTAATTTTATATATAAAAAGTAAAGTTTTTAAAATATATTATTACCCCTAAAACTATATAAATAAATTTAAAAAAAGTTACTATAATTAATAAATAGCTAATACTAATATTAGTTAAAAAAGTATAAAGTTTTATTAAACTAGCTAATTATTATTAACGCTTTATTTAAAACTTCTTAAACTTTACTTAACTTTTAACTAATATAATAAAGAAAAATTAGAAGTTTAATTAAATAAAAAAAGTAAAGTAAGTATTTTAAGTAATTAAATAAGCTATAGTATTAAAACTTATTTTAGCTATATATAACCCTAAGAAACTAGTGGAAATTAAAACTAATATATTAAAATATATAATTAAAAAAGTACTAAATTAATAAAATAATAAAAGAAAACTTTACCTTATAGTATTTTACTTTTAAAAGCTTAATAAAGCTAAACTTAATTATATAATTTATAATAAAAAATTCTTAAGAATTAAAAGCTATTTAAAATAATAAAGTTAATATTATAAAGGAAGTAAATTTTAAATTAAAATCTTTATTAATTATTAAAATATTACCTACTTTATATTTACTTAGAAATTATTTAAATAATAATTAAGATACTTTAAATTCCTAAGTAAATTTAATTATAAATTTATATATTATAAAAGATTAGAAAATAGAAAAGCTAATATATTTAGTAAAAGGATTAACTACTTTTAAAAAATTTTTAATTACTAAGGTATTATATTATATTAAAATACATAAGGTAATTATAAATAAAGATTTTTTAATTTAATCTTTAAAGGAAAAGAATATAATAAACTTTTTAAAAAAATTAAGAAGTATATAAAAGATTAGGAATTATATTAGTTTTTATTTTAAATTATATTATAAAATAAATATT